TATATATATATATTAGTCATCAAAAATGATAACCCCTGATGTACACGATTCTCCATTAGACAGTAAGCACCCTGCCAACAAACAAACAAAACAATATGGCGCTCCTCGATGCACAACCATGCCAAATAGCGGCGCTCTAATAAGTACCGTTCAACTTTAACGTTGGCCTGTGGGCTTGCGAGTGATGTGAAAATGCGTTGGCGCATTAAAATTCGATGTTCATTGACAAGTCCGACAGTAAACACGTCTGAGCTGAAGCGCCACGTTGCAAGGTTTAACTGTATGTCTTTCATTGACAACTGTATGAGCAACTGTTGATCATTAGAGGGTGGAGAGGCATGGGTGGGCTTCAGCAAGGGGAATGCCCTAACTTAGCGAGAAGAATCTGTGGTATTATCACATTTGGGTGGCAAAAAAAGGCAACTCCCGCTGTGTGTGACTGAAAGATCGGAAAAGAGGGTTTGAAACTACCAGTTAACCAACAGAACCTGTTGAAGAAGTCAGGCGTTTTTAAGACACAAATGGCAATGCCAGTCTAATGACATCACCCCACAGACATATGGGGGTGGGGGGGTCAGTGGCAAAAGGGTTGTGCAGCGTTAGCAGTAGATTTTATATTTAGCTGCAGGGAGAGGAGGAGATGGGGTCGAACGGTGTTGGTTGTCATAACACCTCTGTCCCTTCTGACAACTTAGCTGTAGACTAGACTGAGCGGTGTCAGACTGTTTTTATGGTAAGATTGGGAAAGGGGAGTGGCGGGGGGGGGGGTATTGCATAATCGAATCAACTCCATAATCACGTGCCTATTTCCTTTCATGAGATGTTTGCAGATGGCCGATCCGAATCTGCAACTGTTCGCACACTTGTCCACACTCCGGGGTTTGTTTGGCAATTGAAATAAGCAATTGGCCAGAAGCGAAGGAATGAGACAGAGGCAGCCAGTTGGGGTGGGATGGGGTTGTTGGATGAGGTAGCGGAGGAAGAGGGAGGGGCTGTCAAAGCACCAATCATGGGGAAGACAGATTTATTTCCACAGCTGAGTGCAGCGACTCTCCTCTTGGGCTCGCAGTGTTTCTAGGCTTGACACTTTGGTGGTGGAGAGAAGTGAATAAAGTGAGTTCAGAAGGTGGACCGTTGACATGGATGCCCTCGCGCTTGAGGCTGCCATTGGTAAAAGGCCAGCTAATGGGATAGCAGCTGCACCTCTACTGGCCCCCGCACCGGTCAAACGTAAACCTGCTAAAAAAGCTAAAAAGGCTGTTGTTTTCTTTGAGGTGGAGATACTTGATGCCAAGACCAAGGACAAGCTCTGCTTCCTGGACAAGGTGAGCAACGACATCTTTGAACTATTTTCACGAACACTCATTACAATTTGCATGATTCTTTGCATAGCTTGGGCGTGCGAATGCTTATTGCACACAACTGGTACAACTAAGTTGCGTCCTCTGTAATGTAAAAATATCCAACTGTGTCAGTGAGAGTCATACCTTTTCTAGAACATACTGAAGCTGCCTCAGTTGTCATCAAAGAGCGTGCAACTGTAAATCTACACTTTCACACGTGACCCAACTGCCTGCTTGGTGTTCTGGCCACTAAGTTGAAAGGTACAGAGTCGATATGCAGTGGATGCTCAGTTTATGGTACATCACCCATATCAACCCAAATTTGAATGCTTTAGTCGATCACGAGTTGATCACTAGCCGATACAAACGCAGTTGTGAAGTCACCATCCCAGTTAATATTTGTTTGAAAATCACTTCTTGGCTGGAAGTATTAAACAATCAAATGGAAAAACAATATGCTGATTTGCTCCCAGTTGGGCCTGGCAGCACCTTGCAGGGCAGAAGCTGCTCATTGTTGTCTGAATGGGTGAAGGTTAGCCTCCATAAAGCGCAAAATAAATGCACGCCATTTACCATTTAAATTTTAATTTCCTTCATTTTACCAAAACAATTCTATACCCAAACTTTGAAGGAACAAGTCGGGGAAGGCCAATTTCTTTTCAAGCATGAGTGTACCATAATGTACAGGGCAATGTCCACAAAGGCAAGATAAGCTTGCTGTGGAAGAACTTCAGCATCCTGACCTCAAGTCAAACACCTTTAGGGTGAACTAGAACAAAGATGGTGTGTGTGTTTGCCATTAGACCCTCTTTTAGGCTGACTTCACAAATGTTCTTCTGGATGAATAAGCAAATATTCACTAACATAATTATTAAATGTCTTTATGTTTGAAGATCACTGCAGATGTGTTTTGCTAGTCGAATTTGGCTTGCTCTGACCAACCAGAGAATGGAAACATGCGGATGTTATTCAGAGTCAGCGTGCTTGCTTTGGGTGGAGAAATTTAAAGGCAGATTTGTTGGAGATTCTGTGAAATTTCTCATCTATTTTAAATTACATTGATTGGTACTACTGATTCTGAAGGCCTTGGGCAGATTAGAATGACATAGCAGCACATACAGGCCATTTTCACTCCTTGCAGTGTAATGGCCAGGTGTCAATGCTTTTGTCAATCTCGTGTAAGGCAGATATAGAAAGGATGGGGTTGCTTTGGTAGGGGATTGTTTCTTTAAACGGTTTATCATGTCTAGTCAGGGTTTATAGGACGAAGCCGCAATCTGAGCACTTAATGAAGCCCAGATATTGTGGGGGGGGTTGTGTGCAGTTTTTTTTTTTTTTTTTTAAAGTGATGTCATCCTGCGGAAAAGGCCGCAAGGTCTTCAGACTGACGTGGAAAGAATTGAAGCTTGTCAGTCTATCAAAGCTTGGGCAAGCAGTCTATTAATGAAATGGCTCTGAAAGTTCAGCATGCATGGAAAAACAAACACATCTTGTAATTGGCGAGAGAGCTTTAACCCTCAAACAAGCTCTACTTTCCAGGGATGAGCAATTTAAATCATACACAAACTAAGTTTGCATTGTACACAATCAATTCCTAAAGCATAATACCGTGTTAGAATAATTATGACTGTAGATTTATTTAGTTATTTTTTTGTGATAGGTGGGAAGAATGTGACAGTAAGGAAAGAGAGAAAGAATACTGATGAATGTTCACGGAGAGTCCCCAGGAACATCTGTAGTGGCTGTAATGAGGGCATGAAATTATGAAATGTGCTCGTTTGATGCGAACAGAGACGGGTCTTCTTCCACAAAGTCAGAGGCTTATGATGGTTCCAAATGTTTTGCTATGAATTCAAAAATTCAGGGCGACGCAACTCCAAACCAAGGTTACACCCGGTAATAGTTTCGGATTTTTCATTAAACAGGTAGTCCGTTTTTATTTCATTTTGAATTTTGTATTTTTGAATTTTGTTAGTTTGAAGTGTGTGTCTGGATATTGTACATGGAATATGTTGTGTAAATAGATTTATTGATTGCTTGGTTGATTGATTTTTTTTTTTGGGAGGGGGTTGGGGGGAGTATGCCAACATCAGTTCACTATAAGACCATTAGTACTGTATAGGCATCAACATTGTGTGTGTGTGTGTGTGTGTGTGTGTGTGTGTGTGTGTGTGTGTGTGTGTGTGTGTGTGTGTGTGTGCGTGCGCACTACAATTTTGGGTTCATATTTAGTCAAGCTGGTTGCTGTCAGCTTGGCACGATGCCGTGTGCTTTGGCTGTAGCTGTAGGATCTTTGAAACTTGAATACCAGCTGTTGGATTGCTTGTGTGTGTTTGTCGGGGGCAGGGGGGGCAGGGGGGGGCACTGCCAGAGCTAAATTTACTGCTAATCACTGTCATGAATGGAAAACTGGATTGGTGTCTGTTCATCTGTGTGTTTACATCAATTGATTTGTCACGTTGTTATTTGTAGGTGGAACCAAATGCCACCATTGGGGAGATCAAGTCTATGTTCCACAAGAGCCGTAAGTGTTTTCGCTATGGCCTCATATATCGTAATTAATAGCAAACAAATGTTCACACTTGTCTGTCTGTTTCAGATCCACAGTGGTACCCAGCCAGACAATCCATTCGCCTTGACCCCAGTAAGTCGTTTGTGGCTTCATTAACGTAACCTCATAGTCAATGAAGTTTGTGGTTAACCCTCATTTATCTTCAAGATGTTTTCCAGCTCCACCCACAATTGGTGAAAGTCCACAAAATAGAGTGACCATATAAAACATGAACAAAATACTGCCATTTCACTCCTCCCGACCACGTTGAACACGCTCACATTTATTAAAACAGACTTTTAAAGTATTCCTTAGCTTCTGTTCTCACGCTTGCTCGTACAGCTCTCCAAATAAAATGCAAGGCGCGCTTGCGTCAAGTTATTTCGAACTCCCTGTTGAGGATTACCATAAAACGAACACATCAAACATCAAACGTATATTTAAGCGGTCGACTATTTTTTTTTCTCAGTTAAAGAGATGCTACAATACAATAAAACATCAAACATACTGTTGTGTGAAGTATTTTTACCTGACAGAAATTTTTAAGAAGTTTTTTTTTTTTTTGATAGGTTACAAACTAAAACCTGAAAATTGGTGAATTTGCAACAATGCGAGGTGTCACTGTAGATCAATGAGCCTAATGCTAACATACGGTGTAATATGAAAGATGTACTCGTTATAAATCTTCAAAAAACTGTGACTTTAACCTACACAGCCATGACAGACTTGCCTGTATAATGTTAACAACCCATAAATGACCACTTCTAAAAACATCCACAATGGGGCTGGAGCATGAACGATGAACCAAGATATAACGCGATAGATACAACACTGTCATTCTCTCTCTGGAGTACATTGGACCTCTCTGAGTGTGTGTTCAGTAAAAGTGTGTACCGGTATGTTTCAGAGGGGAAATCTCTGAAGGATGAGGACGTTCTGCAGCAGCTTCCTGTGGGAACCACAGCAACGTTTTACTTCCGAGACCTGGGGGCTCAAATCAGCTGGGTCACGGTAAGTACAGGTTCTACCACGTCCAGTGGAGTTGAGCGATGATATTAACAGTTCATGTTTTGCCTCGCCTATGTTGGAGGAGAGTATGTTCTGACTTATTTGCACAGATACAAAGGTTGCTGAAATCAGGCAGTTAAAGAAGAAGTAATGGCATATGATAACAGCACTGTGAAGGCGGGCTCATTTTCCACCCAACATTGAACAAGCCACATGGCGAAAGAGCAAGTGGAGCTGGAGTCTTTCACAAGGCCGCGCCCTCTAAAGGCACACATCAGCACGTGAATGCTACAGTGTGTGTGGGTGTGTGACGGTCACCCTAAATTAGACTTCATCAAACCAGTTTATTGCTTTATATTCTCTTCGGCCTTACATTATAACTAATACAATGAAGCAACCAAAATATGTACAAATATGTTTTTTGTGGCTGAATTTAGCTGCTGCGGCTTTTAGTCACTGCACGGTGTCCAGATAAGAGCATTTCACGATGCAGGATATCTCTTCATGAGAGGCCCTCTAATACATTTGCTAAGCAGTGTACAGTATGTCCTCGTTAAATCAATTTTATGGCAAAATAGGACATTTTAGATCATTGCACCCAGCGTACACATTTAGATGCACTTACACAATTTAATGAGATCTAATGAACAATCTTAAACAAAATCAGTTTTTATACGACTGGCCATTTCTTGGTTTATCACTCTCATGTAGTTAATTAAATAAGGGATGCAAAGATTACGAACGGCTCTCAGTCCTACACCAGTGCAAACACAACAATGACAGAAACAGGCATGTTAAATGAGGACCTCTGACAGCATCAATCACCAGTAAATATTTACTTTGCGAAAGAAGAATTATGGATACCGCTCTTGGCTCTTACTAGTTTACATGCTTAGTTGGTACTAAATGCTTGATTATGTGGCATCTTGTGACTTTCAGGTCTTCCTGACAGAGTACACTGGACCTCTTGTCATCTACCTGATGTTCTACTTCAGGGTCCCCTTCATCTACGCCCCCAAATATGATTTCACCACCAGTAAACATTGGGTCGTACAGTAAGTGTCCCGGAAAATGTCACTCATCAAGTGACACAAATGTGTTTGCATGTAAAAATTGAACTCCTAGCCTTCTGACAACAAGTTACGAATGAGCGAGGCTTTATATATTGTCGCTGTCCTGTGAAACTCATGTACAGTATGCTCATTTTTGTCGTTAATTTCTTTTATTTTTTTTAAATTAATGGCATGTCCGAAATGCAGACACTCCCATGAAAAATGGACACCTGTTTTTCACAGAACCACGACAACGTACTTTTCATGACACAAAGGCCAATGAGTCAAGATTTGCTTTTTAATAAGCTGCTAATCCAGATCTTTTGCTTTTCCCAGTCTTGCTTGTATGTGCCACTCTTTCCACTACGTGAAAAGGCTGCTGGAGACGCTGTTTGTCCATCGCTTCTCTCATGGAACCATGCCACTCCGCAACATCTTCAAGGTAAGACTGTTAAACTATTTGAGCACTGTGACCTGATCATGTGATGTCACTGCCCCGTCAATGTTTGAGGCACGTGTTTTAGTGCTACTTTTAAAGAAGTGTCTATTTTCAGAATTGTACATACTACTGGGGCTTTGCAGCATGGATGGCTTATTACATCAATCACCCACTTTATACACCGCCAAGTGAGTGTGGACATAGTACACGCAGATACTCTATACTCTCTTGTACATAAATGTCTCCATGGAACTTCATTCCGCGTGTCTGTGTGAATTACTGTTCCAGTTTATGGCGAGAAACAGATCAGACTGGCCCTCATCTTATTCCTGGTAAGAATCCCTCCAATCAATGTATGGCATCCGCAGAGATCGTGTTTCTCATCAATGGTGTTCTCTTTCTCAGTTCTGTCAAGTTGGCAACTTTTCCATCCACATCGCGCTTCGCAACCTTCGTCCACCAGGTATACGCACTCTTGCCCTACTATCCAGTGGAAAAATTGTGATTTTAATGTGAAGTGTTGGCCGGCCTTGACGAATATTTTGTACATCGGCTTGTTTTGTAAATTAAATGTTTGTGGATACAGTGCTTTGAAAAAGTATTTGCACCCTTCCTGATTTCTGTGCTATTTGCAGTTCATCAAACCAATTTTAATATCAAACAGACACAACCCAAGGAAATATGAAACGCAGTTTCGAAAAACCAATTTAACTTATTTAGACACACAAAAAAATGCAAACCTACCTAACATGACATTAATTCATTTAAATTTGCCTTTCCGAAATTTAACTTGGAAAATCACATTCATCATGTTGAGATACCATTCAATGGGTGTTAAATTACAGTATAATAAAATACTGTTGGAGCAAAATGTACAAACACTTGTTACGGATCTACCAAAAAAAAAAAAAAAATCTCTCTCTCTCCACTTGTTTATTCAGGCTCCAAGACCAGGAAGATACCCTACCCGACAAAGAACCCCTTTACCTGGATCTTCCTGCTGGTCTCCTGCCCCAATTACACTTATGAGGTTGTTTTATTTCTTTCTTTTTTTCTGTTATGGTGTTAAAACTCAAATATGAGTCCATTCTAAAATTCTTAATCATGTTGATATAAGTAGTGAAAGGTCAGCCAGCGTATACATTTCCACGTTCCTCTTTTTGTTGCAGTTGGGCTCCTGGCTCGGCTTCACGCTGATGACTCAGTGTTTGCCCGTGGCCTTCTTCACCTTGGTGGGTTTTATTCAGATGACCGTGTGGGCCAAGGGCAAGCATCGCAGCTACCTGAAGGAATTCCGGGATTACCCTCCTCTCCGGTCACCCATCCTGCCCTTTGTCCTGTAGATGAGGGCTCCTTCATCTAAATTTGCTTTCGTTGCTGGTAGAGGCCTCGCCCGTCTCTATCCCAACCTGACGATTACAGTATCATCTCTTTGTTTCGCCCCCGCTTCTATACTGGAAATAGTGACTGAAAACATGCTTGCGTGCTGCTTACATGTTTGATCGCTATAAATGCTAAATGTTTAACGCATCACTTGTTTTGCCTCATTTCACACACTCAACAAACCAACCAGTTATGCCTGGTTCTGTGAATTATTTTGTACGCCCACAGAAGTTCTGACCCCCAAACGACGTTGTGCACTGATAAACACTGTACAGCTCATGCAGGTCTGGTTTATGTTTTCATGTTCAGAAATGTAAATTGTTTACATCCAATCCTCTGAAAAAGTAATTTATTAATAAAAAGGAATCAAATCTGTGACGGGTTTTGTTGATTCTTTATCTGTCTGGAATATGTAGCGCTAAAAAACATTTGACAGAATCTGAGCATGTACTTGTCAAGACACAAGACGGAAAAGCTGCACAAAATTGTGCTTATAAAGAGTATTGGGGCTGCCCATGCTGGAGAAAAAAAATACAAATAAATTGAAAGTCCCAATTTCACAGGTATAGACATTATAGCACAAGGGTGACACATGACAAGAACATACATTATTTTAAGAAGAGGATGTTAACTTTTTTTGTCTGTTTCGCAACGTTTTGGCACATCAGCACCATCAAAAGTAAAAGCTGTTTAACATGACTGAACAAAACTGTATGTCTGTTCTTAAAAAAAAACAAAAAACACATGGAACAGAATCACCTATTTGGTTGGGTGTGTGCAATGAAGACAGGCAAGACGCATCCCTACCGTTAGATAGCCTTGGATTTTTAGCGAGAGAAGTGAGGTACACCCTGGATTAGTCACCAGCCAATCACAATTGCACATTCAACATAGACAAAAAAAATATAAAAACCTGGAACATTTACCTGAACCGAGCAAGTGTTTTGGGAATGTGAGAGGAACATGGAATACATTGAGGGAACACACACACGCATGGGGAGCAGTGGTGGCTGCTGGAGCTTTCTCCCAATTCTTCGAGAAATTTTTAAAAAAAGTAAGTATGATGTGATTTTAGAGCTTTCAAAACTGTCATTGTCACAAGATGGAACTTAGATCAGAAATCTTTAAAAAGTGCATATGAATCATAAGGAGTTAGAGCTATGAGCAACGGGAAATCCCAGATGCTTGACAAACAAAAAGCGATGACTGCGATATGTAATTAAGCAGCACTGTTTAATGTGAACAGTGTAAGCTATATACAGAGATGAGGAGAAAAGATGTGCTTCATTATGCAGCTTCAGCCTGGGCCTCAATTCTCTTCTTCCTCAGCTGGAGCCTCCTCTCCCTCTCATACTCTTTCATCCGCATCACATAGCTAGAGACAAACAAACAAATGAAATACACATTTTGCTTGAAGATGGAATGCTTGTGCCATGAGAACCGATCATGATTTGAAACATTAGCGTTGTTAAATAAACTGCATCGTAGCAAGCTTTTCCCTATGTGGTCAATCAAATATATTCTTTCAAGTAACAGTGACCACTGACAAAATAGTAACTCGTGATGGAAAGACTTACTCCCGGTGTTCACAGTAGTCCCAGTCATGTCTCTCGTGCTTGCAGGCAAGGAAGTTTGGCCAGTTGTCCCTTTTGCACTTCATGAACTTCAGGAGGTAATGAGCACAATAGTCCCTCTGCTCCAACGGCAGCATGGCCAAATTCATCTGCTCCTGGGTCGCAACCATCTCTGTAAGGAGCACGCACGCACAAACATACCATCAGTCTTTATTTTTTTCATGCACTCGCAATATAGGAGCTAGTGATTAACCTGCCATGCGGAGAAATGTTTTGGCTGTGAGAACAGTGAAAATGAATTAATTCAGGACTGTAATGGTGGTTAACACAGCACGTGTAGTAACTATTTACTATTAGTTATGATGCTTAGTAATTATTTAGTTATCTGGGAATTGCTATGCCCCATGAGCATTGTAGTAATTGGTTTTGCATTACAGAATCATTTATGAGCAACGACACACGCCTTTTAAAATACATCCATCCATCTTCTATGGCGCTGTCCTCATCAAGGTAGCGGGTGAGCTGGTGCCTTATCCGGGCTGATTTTTGGAGAGAGCCGGGTTGCACCATACACCACCGTAACCGCCGTGCCAATCACAGAAAACATACAACCATTCACACGCACATTCAAACCTTAAGCCAATTAGTCAATGAACCAACATAACATGCATATCAGGACATGCAAACTCCATACAGGAAGGACATTCGAACCCAGAACTTCAGAATTCTGAGATAAACGTGGTAAAGACAATTACACCATGCTGATTTAAAGTTTGTAAATATTGGTCGGTGCTATAGTGTTCGGATGGTAAACTGCACAAACCTAATTCACATATGATCATTTTTTAATTCAGTAAACATTTCCCTCGAGGAAAAATTGGAACGAGAATAATGCATTTCCCGTTACATTGCGATAAATGCCAAAATTTGGTTTGATGCAGCTCAAATACGCACAGGCCGATCTGACAAGTTATCGCGAGATTACGTCGATACGTGCTCAGACAGATACGCTAATTTCAGACACTAACCGAAATATACAAACACCCTCATCCAACGCACTACTGTCGCACAAGTACTTAGTCGTAGTACAAACCTCGCTCTTTCCTCTCAGGAAATCCAAAGTTGGGGTCGAACTCGAATTTCTTCGCCGGGTCTGGCTCGGTGTCGGTCTCGGTGATGTACCGTCTGACCAGGTGAGCCCCCATTGTATCCTTTATAGAGTATGCACTTTAATAATTTTAAGTGGAACCGTCTTTCTTCCGTGCTGGGAAATTATTTTCAAAATGCTTCAGCTATCTGCCATTCGGTCACCTACACAAGCCCCTTGAATGCACTTCCGTTTCGACCGGAAATAAACAGCTGACAAATTCAGTCCTTCAGCAACATCTTCCCCTTTAAGCAAGCAACAAACGTTCCGCTAGTAAATTTCAGGGTGATCAAGCAATTTTGATGCTCCTCTAAATCAATTGTTAAAGCTTTTTGCACACAACTTTCTGGTGATGGTTTAAGAATGCCACATTGGGAGTTGCAGACAAAATTAGTTTGGAAAAATATTTAACGTGCCAAGCTATTTTTGTATTTTTTTATGTTTCATGCTTTGGTTCAATTTTACATAAAAACAATAATAATAAAACATTTAAACGTGGGTCACCAAGAACCTGTCCCTGTAGGGATGATAGACTTAATAGGGTTGAAGGAGAGTAGCTTGCTGCTTCCTTTGTTTGTGACACAATTCGTCTTGATCGCCTCCTGTCATTTTTTTACAGCCTAAATGCTTTTTTTTCAGATCAATTCGAATCTGTTTAGAATAGTCTGTATTTTAATACAATGTAATTTTAATTGCCCCCTTTTAATGACATTGTCTTACATGTTTGTATATCTTGAAGAGGTAGTTTCCACTGTACTAGATACATTTTAACATCTGATATGAACCTAAGTAGAAAATATAATAATATGCTCAAAATCCACATTAAAAATGTTCATCTTCAGGAACCCAAACATACAAAAACATTTAAAGTATTTTCACAACACAGTACATACAAATAACGAGAGTACAACAGACATGACTATTACGCAAAAACAAAATGCTGAGAATTGTGCTTATTTATTTTAATATTCTGAATAATGACCCAATAAAAACTCATGCAAAGTTTATTTTGGCAAAGGCTGTCCCATATTGATGTCAGACTGGAAGATATCTACCGTACCTCCAAACTAGTAATTTAAAAAATTGTGCAATCTAAAGTTGTTTTTTTTCAATAAAGTCCGTGTATGACTGACTGTGTGCACGGGGAGTTATAAAACGTTAATCTGATGCAATGGGTGTGTATGAAACTATAACCATATATAATGTGACATATGTGAATTGTAATGTGACATATAAAACCATTAATTTTCCAACGCATTTACAGCATTGCATCCTGGTCCCTGGAATAAAGTAAACGTCTTCACCCTACAAAAAGAAACAAATGTAAAAACCAAGTTGGAATAGATTACTATTAATCTTTCTAGCTCCATTGCATGTGTTCCCATTCCAAAGGCTGAAAGTTATAAAACATACAGCCGCCCTGTAGGGAATTTTATGTTTTAATCTTCCACTGACTCAGTCTGTACCAGGCACGCAAAGCCTGACTCTGTTTTGAGTAGTGGACTGGGTGGATTTCAGCTGATAGCAGGTACCAATCACAACCTCAGAAGTTTAAACGTGCAACGATACCGAGCGTGACTGCAGAATCAACCCGACATTCTCACTCAATGGGATACCTGATCAGCACCTTGGGCCCACCGCACACCAAGCGACGTCACTGAATGCCACTGATCCATAGCCTGCCAGCAGACCTGTTCCCCTGGAGCAAGCATCTGCGATGTGATACAGACAGGCATGTAGACAGACAGATCCACTTGTGTGATAGCAACTATGAGACAGTGAGATACTGTACCGAGAAGAAGTGAATAAAATGTTCCATTGCAAAGATAGAATACAGAATATATGGCAGAGAACTGTCCACCTGTCGCCTGTCATGTCTGCAGTACTTTGGCCGATGACTCATTCAGCGTGTGTTTTGGCATTGATCGTGCCAGCGCACAGGTCCTGAGGGTCGTCCCCTTATTTATTTTTTTAACCTGGCCTGTTCAGCTGAGAGGTCATGCAGAATGAAGGATACCAATCCTTTCATGTCGAAATAGTTTTCTGTGCCACAGTGGAGTGAAGGGCACTTTTTTGTCGTGACAACTGAGGAACAAACACAATGAGGTCTGTGTAACGCCTTGATTCCCCGAACCTAAAAAAAAAAAAAAGAAAAAAAAAAGCAATGTTGTGTCTGAGAAGAAGCACCATTATCTCGCTCTAACTCAACATTTTACCCTTTGATAGTCAATGATCAATGCAGACTTTAATTTTCTGGATTCCCTGATTGCATTTAGTCTTAGCAAAGACCTGTTGTACATTTAAAAAAAAAAATCCAAATATCATGAAGACATCCTATTCTCTTGCTAGCTTAAAATTTTGTGTTTAATTAGAAAAAATGCAATTGCCTCAGTCGGTGATTCTCGACTGGTGGGTCGGGACCCAAAAGTTGGGTGGTGGACAAGTTGTAAAAACATCACAGGGGGGGTTCTCAGCTTACAATGCTACCAACATATAACGTTTCAAGGTTAGGAATGGTGCGCAACTGACTAGTTTGGGCAGCAGTGTGCAAACGCGTGGCACAAGAATGCAAGCTCAGTAACTGCCATGTTTTTCATTTGATTGTTTTACATTTATAGCCTGGAAATGTTCATCAACCTAAACCCCCGTTTTTAGGTTTTTGCTTTCCATGGCAGAGTTCAGTCCAACAATTTATTTTTGTACAAACGTGTCCATCGTCAGTTTCTTTATAAGGGGCTTTGAAAGACATGTTCATGTTCACATGAAAGCATATTTAGTTATATTTGAAAATAAATGCCTTCAAAGGCTATTTTTGACAAATACTTTTTCTTTATTGTTCTTCACTCCTAAATATAAATAAATCAGGTAAGAGTGGGTCGCAATGTGGTGAAAGTAGGAAAATGAAAACCCAGGGTCACAACAGTTGAAAACCACAGGTCTAAATTTACAAGCTTCATAAAGATTAACAGTTGATTGCTTGTCTCAGTCACTTTTTACATGACAAACCCAAATGCTTTCAGTCCTGAGCAAAGATAAAGGCTCAATGTTGCAATACATCGGGCAAGAGTACATGAAATAGAATGAAATACTGGAGTGCCATTGTGCAGGATAATTGTACATAATCATGCCTTTTGTGAACTTCTGTATTAAGTTATGCAAATGAGAATGAGAACTGCAAAATGACAGATGGCATGTGAATGCAAATACAATTGACCAAATTTTGTATCAACTCTGAAGTGTGGCAAAAACCCCCGATGACATTATTCAGTAAATGTGTAGTATGAGACAAATTCAGATGAAACTGTAGTTGCCGTTTCACTCACTCTTCTCCAACAGAAGCTTGTTCTGTTTGGTCTGCTCTCATTTTGTTCACTTGTCCTTCTGGGTCCAGTCGGACTATATTAGTCGGGTATGATCTGCCTTCTCCTCGAATCAGTGCCAACGGTATTAGGTTCTTGTTCCTGCATGCTTCTTTTCTGATTGGCTCCCGTGTACGTTTTTCCCCTCCCCCTCTCTTTATAATTGCCCATGACTAACATGTTTCTACGGCACTCCATGTACCTGTTTAGACGCCTTTATTACCTCAACTTAGGCACACAACTATGCAGAAACACACACCCTAAGTCTCAAATATGGGCACGTCGGTTATTATTTACTCTGCTTTCACAATGTCAGAACAGAGGATCAACATAGTCACGAAGAGGAGACACATGAGGGAGTTCTTTTGTTCAGACTTTATTTTGAAAGGTTTCAAGCAAGTAGGACAAAACTCGACTGTACAACATGAGAAAACCAAAGAAATTTGGTTAACATCTGAACTGCATGGAAAAGGTTTATCAAACACCTCAATGTGAAGTGAGAATTTGCTCTTGGACATTGAAGAGAGTGGAAAATGGGCAAATGAAAGAGGTAGTCATGCTTGTGGAGGACACCATTCATAAAACGGAACCACATTTACATATTTCAATAACAAAATAAGCATTTATGTGCTGTCAAACTAGATGCTTGAATGTTTGTTTGTCGTGAGAGTTTGTGTTAAATAGGCGGACTTTGTGTGACAGCAGCTGATTGACTTGAACCTGTGATTCACTTGCAGAATCACTTTTATGTTATTCACAAATTCTTGTCAAAGAGGCCCGAATATATTTACATATGTACATATTAAGTTATTTGCTCTGTTGACTTAGCTGGTGTGTCTGTTGACAAGTGTATGCTATAAATTAACAACATCAATTGTTTGTGTGAGGGAAGAAGTATGTTGTGTTTTACTGAGGCTTGGCCCAGATTCCTTGGAGATATAGCATCTAGTTCTCCATGAGCATCATCCACAATATTAGGTTACACTTGGGCAATAGGATGACGTCACAGGAAACTAAACAAAAAATGTTTAGTTTTTATAAAAATAATAATGCTCCATTTTGATCAGATACTGTCAGGTGTTTGTGTAGTTTCACTTTGAACAATGTAGAAACTCAATCTGAGACATGACATAACACATCGCATCACATATCCTATTAAAGCTCCCCGAAGAGCACTTTGAAGATCTATGATCATTTTGTAAATATGTCCTGGTATGATGATAGTCTCTGCTTTAGCACAAAAACACTTGATTTGGTTTCATGGCGGTTTACAAGTTGCAAAACTCCTCACTTCCGCTACACTTTTGTTAGGATTGTCTCAGAACTCTTGATGCATATAATAGACATAGCTCAACAGCCACTCAACTGATTAACTTTTTTTTTAACAATTGAACTTCAGGGGAGTGCTAATATCAATGTCCCTGACTAAACCAACCACAATCAATTGTAACTAATATTAGTCTCAATCGTCCGAGGTCATCCATGGCAACAAAATGCATATGAAAAACAGTCAGTGAGTTGAGAGGGCAAGAAAATCCACTTGTTATTGAACACCCCGCCCCTTCAAAATAAAATGATCGTTCTGATCATTGTGCACACAGAATGACCAGATAACAATGACCTTTTACCTCACATGACATAAACACGTAAATGTATCCACAAGTGGTTAGCACATCACTGATGAGGTTTGGGGTTTGATTCTTGACTTGGGACAAGTGGTATGGAAAATGGAGGGGTAGATAAACTGTACCCACCCAGAAGCAAAACATGGGATAGCATGACAAAGAAATTGTTTTTGAAACAGTCTTTGTCATTGAAATTACCTCGAGAAACATTGTTCAATTGTTTGTGGACACTTATAAATATATTTAAAAAACACGATTTTTAAATATATATTTTTTTAATTCCAGGAAGTTTATTGGAGAGCGTAATTGTTTCGTGCATGTTTTTTTCCGAGTTACATTCTTTATGTGTTTCATGTACAGTCTTCATCCTCGAAGTGTGTTTTTTGCAAAACCTTCACGTGTCGCTCGTAGATCTTGAGGGCGGGACCAAGTCTGATTGACAGGCCAGTCAAGACGTCATTACGCTGCATGAGGAGAAGGGACTTCCCATCGATTTCCTACAGAGAGCAACAGCCAGGTACAGGAGTTGGACAGGCAGAAGTATCTTGTACATAAAATGCGCAACTGTTAAATCGGTCTGTGCCGCCCTCTAGTGGTAAAAAGGCATCCTCACCTGTGTTCCAAAGGCGGTGGCCTGCTCAGGGAAACCTGCTATGGTAAAATAAGTGACCACATCCGACACAGTCCAGTCCGCTGGGCTACCCCTGGCCCCTTCCATCTTATGAAACCTACAAATTGAGAAATTGAAAAAATTGAATCAATGAATTAATGTTCCCCCGCTATATCGAGGTTCATTGTTTACCCCCCTGCTTTATTGTGGCAGACCATTCACACCCATGTAAGTGTGAATGATTGTGTGCCCTGTGATTAACTGGTGACTACTCTACCCATGACCCTAAACAGGATAAGAGGTAGAAAAAGAATGGATGGGAA